GCACTCAAGTGGATTCTGAGATCGTCTATTTATTGTCATAACTCAATCTGCGGGCGCTAAGCATCCTAGAAATCCCAAAATTACATTCAAGGGCGACCGATTTCCCTATTAAAAATCCAATCAAAGATCGCTGTTCTGCGCCTAGGCGCACGCCGTCAGGGGCGCTGTCGGACGGGAAGGCAGCAGGGAAGGGCGTGCGCCATCCAATCACGAGTGACGGCTTCCCGGCGGATTGATCCTTCGAACCGGCGGAGTGATCTTCCGAATGTGCGCGTATTTGATGGATTCTCGTTGGGACTCATTTTGTTTACTTCCGGTCTTGCGTCGTGCGGAGATGGACCTGCCAAATCTAACACCGTTGGAGGTGGAAATTCTTCGGCGGACGGCAGATATCAGCTCAATCTCCTACGACGCCACTCCTACGCGCGACGCCGATGCCCCGAACGCGACGGACGACAGTTCGCGATGCTCAATGTCGACACCGGAGGAAGACGACGAATCCGACGACGCAACCCAGCGGCTTGGGAACACCAACTGGTAGGTGATGGGCTGTTTATTATACCTCTCATATGTATAGCTGATGCTGGTTTTCTGTTTTAAGGTGCCAATGCAGTTGCTGCGTGCCGATGGAAACCGTCGCAGAGTGTGTCTGCTGCCGTGACTACCCGGCCGCCGTTCGCAAGCAGCAGGGCCGGCAGAGCTGCGTGACAAGCCACCCGGATTTCGAGGGGCTGTGCCTCGATCCGGGTGTGCTACAGCTAGCCTGTAGCACACCCGGGAGTGATGTGCGTGGGCACATCACTGCCGCGTAACAAGGCGAGGAGAAAACGTAGTTCGCTCTTTTTCAAACAATAATAGCTGTATTACGTCACCTACAGCCTAAGATTTGACGTTGTTGTCAAAATATAATGTGCATGTGCCTAAAAAGAGCAATAATAATAACTTTAGCAATCTTTTCGCAGTTCGCTATTTCTATTGGTCGAATTCTATGGAGGTGGTGGAGACACGGGATGGACCCCGCAAGAGGATATAGTGCCTGTGTATTTCTATTGCTGTGAGTTTACTAGGGCGCCTTGCCATTTAGAACTGGTCATTTTTATTGACTGAAGCCCAACAAACAATATGCTTCCAAAAACAAGCTTCTCCAAAAAGCACTTGAGTGCCCCTTTTACGCTATGATTTAAGGCTTCCACAATGCCCATTACAAACACCATCGAACTTGTTGTTCACAAGGTAATGACGTCACGAAAGGTAAGCAAACGAGGGCGCCACCGAAACAACTCGCCGCTAATTGGCGACGTGCGCGACCGAAAGCGTCGTTGTGGTCGGCCTTCCACGATTGGCCCAAAAGCTGACTATGACGTCGGAAAGGGTATACCTAGAGCCACTCTATGTGGCATTGCCAGAGTAGCGCCACGCTTTTCCCTGTGCCGCCTCTCACCGTGATTGGTCACACGCGGTACCATAGCAACGAGCTGAGCTGGCTCGGTTTCCTTAGCAACCGAGTGACTACTCGTCACGTGACCTCGCAAGAGCCGTGATGTCACCGGTAAGATGGCAGCGCCCAGAGCTGGTGGATACGAGTTTGTTCGGTGCGCGGTAGTCGTAATGTGCCGCTGCTTGCCGACGATTTCGGACTTCTTCGTGCTTTCTGACGCAGGTATAACGTCAAGATCTGAAAGAATGTTACTTTATACCTTCTTTGTGCAAGATCTTTCTGAATATTAGCACCTGTGCGGCAGCATCAGTCATATCGCCGTAGCGGTGCTCGGATTCCTAGATGTGTTCGAGGAACGATAAGACATTTTCCATGCAATTTTCGCATATTCCTATTCCTGTTTGAATGTTGGAATGTCCGAGAATCGATGTGAATTGTATGCGTCGCATGTTGGACCTTGGGGAAGTTGTGTCAGCCCCAGGTAACCGCGTAATTACAGAAACTTTTAGCGAGGAAGCTCCTGCGATCTTTACGTTTTGTACTAATCAACGATTTTACAATATAACTTTTAGGATAACATTTTCGCATTTTCTAGCTTCCTTTGAATGTTGGAATTTCTGAGTATCGAAACGAAAGGTATACGTCGTGTGTAGGGTTTAGGAAAAGTTGTTTCAGCCCTGGGTCACCGAATAATCACAGCAACTTTAAGCGAAGAAGCGCCTGCGATCTTTAACCTTGTGTACTAATCGACGATTTTACGAATTGACAGTCCTGAAGACTTTGATAAACGTCCTTTCGTTGCAATAGCTTGCATTTGATCGCAGTGTCTTTTGGTTTGTTTTTGCAAGCGATAAGCTGACGTTTGCTAAAATGACGTATATGAAATGACCTGCTCTATAGCAACGCCTCAACACATACTATTAAACTTATATGCTGAGAGGTGTGTTCGTCTTTGTAATTAACAAGTTACAGACAATTATTTTTTACGAGTGTAATATTTATTTTCTGTAGCTGGGCCCGTATTGTGCTCATTGATGTCCGTGTGCTATGATGTTATCATCATGTGTGCATGGTTCTAAATATCCTCTTTGCAGTGCCTACAAAAGCCAAAATGACGTCAGCCGACCCCAGCTCATGCATTTGACACGAAAACTGCGTCACTCGGGCGTATGCGCTCGTCAACAATCAATTCGTCGATGAATATTTGAATTCGCGTTCGTGGCCAATGAGTGCACATGAGTGCACTTGCGAATGACAAGTTCTATGGTGTGCTTAAAAAGCACGGCGGAAGCTTGGGGTCATCGCACCGGTGCCCTAGCATGTCACGACCGCGTGATTCCACTGTTCTCTTTTGAGTTGGGGATTAAAGCTGAGGAAGAAGAAGATAACAAATCAATTCATGGCCCCTTTAGCACGACAGGCCACTTGGCCTGTCGGCAAGAAAACCTCATATCCGGCATCCTCCTCTTTTGATGGCGTTAACAATCCTCTGTAGACCACCGTGCTGTCCTTCTTGGGTTAACCCCGTCGACTGTTCATCGCCCAAAACAAGGGTGATACCGTCGTCGACGTCGTTCCTCGCCAGTCGGTGAGATAATCTCATCTTGAATGAATGAGTGGGTCTTGAAGGAGTATGGTGCTAAGCATACATTCTCTTACTATGGGGCAGTCGAGCAGCAGTCATGTCCCAAGGCCTGGCGATTACGGCGGTCTTGTCGTGGCCGGCGTAATAGGATTTTGTTCCATAGGAGCGAAGTCCGAAAGTACAAGGAAGGTACGTTCGTCCCACGAAGCGGCCGCCATCCCGGCGGCGCGGAAAACCACTCGCCTTGTCCGTGCACGCTGCAAATCGTCTCATTTCCCAGAAGAAACAGGCACCGCTCCTCCAGAGGCCCGTGCCATATCGCCATGCAAAGCGTCTTTTAGGACTTTTACCACTTTTCAATTAACGAATGGAGATATCAAATAGATAAAGGTTGCCGCCCGGCGTCGCTAGCAGTACGGTTACCATAGAAACCTCCCAGGCCCAAAATGGAGATCACTATAGGCGCTTCTGACGTCATGTATCTAGATGATTTTGCGTCGTGTCGCTACTCTGGCAGCTACGCTGCCATATAGGGTGGCTCTAGGTATTTTTTTTTTTATTTGCTATTTTGGTTCATCGAGCGACAGAGATGTTAGCTAGTAGGTATACCATCGACGGAAATATGAGGAATGAAAGAACTTTAATTTCGACGGTGTTGGCAGTGTTGCTTTGAGAGCGCAATGATTTCAGGCTTCCACCATGCTATTTACAAACACCATCGAACTCGTTGTTCGCAAGGTAATGACGTCACAAGGGGGAACCATAGGAGGGCGCCACCAAAACATCTCGCCGCTAATATGTGGTACACATCAGAAATTCTGTCCACAGATGTTACGTTGAATGCAAACGGCCGCAAGTGCGTCTGAATTCGTGGTGATTAGTTATTCTCGAGAATAGGACAACATATTAAGTTGCGCGGCCTTGGTGCCGTAATATCCCTGCAGATGCACAAAAGCTCTCGTCAAAGCTGACCTTGAAACTTAGCACGCTTGCCAAACCCTCAAAAAGAAAAGAAATGGACCGTTTATTCAGGGCTTGCACTGACATTGAATCAGCCGCCAGTGTCTTACTTCTGAGCCTGTGCTTTTTACAGAGTACATAGCGTGCCAACAATTTTTTTTTAGCGAGAACAATCGTAGGAATAACCGCCAGAACAGCACGATGACATCATATGTAAACCACGTATAACCATGTCTCAATCTGGTGACTCTGCTATTATCGGCTCTTGCCAGGGTGCGTTTAATAGAAATTGTGCTTTGTGTTTGTTTCCAAAGAGGGGAAGTTCGTCAGCCCCAACGGATGGATGGTGTCTTGTGCTGTAGAAGAGAACCTTTGACCAGACCGATATCTCATCCAGATCGAAATGGGAAAAGGGGTGGGGGGGGAGCTGAGCCCAGGGATCTCGCATTCTGCGGTGCTACCCTCGTGCACAGAATTGCCGTGCGCCAATACACTCTGCCACTGTCCCTCCTTTGACCCACCTTCTCCCACCCCCAGTTCTCTCCAACTTTAGTGGAAATCGCAGGAAACGCTTTTCCATCTTCCAGAAATGTTAAAATAGTCCGCGGCACAGAAAAACAATGTCACTTGAGCTTCTTCAAGCCGTATCTAAATCTCAGGAAATAGGACTTCCGAATTGTAACAATCGCAGTTTCGACCGAGCCTCACTGAAAAAACAAACTGGCGGCCACCATGAACAAACCTGGAAGTGGAAATACTCCAAGCGCATCTTATTTAGTGACTCTAGTATATCCACGTCCAATCCCGGCGACTCTCATATTACCATTTTTTAATAAATAGGTACTACAAAACCGTGGCAGGGCGTCTCGCGATACAAAACAGGTTTTGGCAATTCGTATCGCGCGCCACGTTCAAAGAGAGCTCGTTAGTTCACGAAGGCACCACGCCGCTCCCAATTTGGCGTCCCAGTCGCGAACGCGGTTCCTGGATGCGCCCGTGCTTCCTCGGATCGTCTGCGAAGTCTCCTGGTTCAGTGCATCCGGCGTCGTCTGCACGTTATGGCGTCCGCTCTTCGCTTGGGTCGTTTCGTTCGCCGTCCCTGTCTCTGCTCCCAGGAAGTGAAGGTACATATTACCGAAGAAAGGTGAACAACGAGTGTGATTACGTTTAGTGCTACATACAACGTTCACCGAGGGAGAAAAAAAGTGAAAGTCATGGCTCTTTTTGGAAAGTCGTCGGACGTCCGGACTTACCTGACGGAATTGATGAGTGAACGTGAAAAACTGACCGGCCACGCTGCGCGGCTCGTGGATCAAGGTCAGTGTTTTGTTTATCATTTATTATTTGCATTTGGGATTGCACTATATGGCCTCGCATTCCATGCTATCGGTGGTTATACTAGAGTTTAGCGAGCATTTGGAAGTTTCGAAAGTTGATCTGACAGTCGGAAGTAATAGAAATATTATTGAGTTATTCACTGAGATATATTTTCTCCGAGAAACCTTATCACCTTTTATTTAAACGTAATATGCGAGCTCCAACATAAGTGAGGTTTAATACCATAACTATATATTTTAATAAAAGTATTTTAAAAATAACGCTCAAAACTTTTTTTTAATTTAAGGTTGGGTTGTAGAAAGGTCCGTGGTATTTTCGACAAATGTTATTTCGAAAAAAAAAATAGAAACGGATATATACTGCTGCATCAATCTTCTGCAATATAAAGTATTCTTTTTTTTTTCGAAGTGTTGTTTAGCTTTATTAAGGTAAATCTTTACACTGTTTTAATAAGATTCCTATCACTTCGGCAATTTTATCGAGTCACCTCCTCGCACTCGTGTTCGACAAAGTGAGTACCATGCCTAATATTTTGTCAAAGGGTTGGTAACTAATAGCAACTATGATTCATTTTTATGATATAGGCTACAACATTTCAGATTAAACATCTGAACAAATCGGCAACTTGGAAAGTTTTGAGGTTTTGGTATTTGAGTAAATTTCTTTGGTAGATTTCGGTCTCTAAAAAAACTTCAATTTTATGCAAAGCAAACAACATGAAACTCGTTAGATTTCACTTATTCCGTCATAATGACATAAAGACAAACCAGTTACATTTGAAGGTCGCAAAAAACGGATAACTATAACATCTGATTTCTTCAAATTCTGAGTATGAATGCTAAAGCTGATATGGCATATTCAATTCCAGAAAACAAGCCAACATAAACTATCGATAGATGCCTAAATACATTTGGGGTAGATATGCGTCGTGGATCTTCAAGCACTCGCGGTAGATGAGGATATCGTCTCGTGGTTTCTGTGCCCATGAACAAAAATTGTTTGTAATGTGTGTGTAACATAATACTCGAAATGGTCACATGCCCCAATTGTTCACTCATTGTCGAAAGTATCTCCACTGTTTACCCGTAACCTTATTCGACCGTTGACTCACCATGGTGCAAACTATTTAGCAGAATTTTGCTAGAACAGAAAGAAACTCTGAACGGAAGAGGTGCACACTTGCTCTCGAAAATGGCTATGCCTGCGCATCTCGCACAACCATTTTCTGGCTTAGTAGCGTGCGCTCGCTGGCCGAATGCTTCACAGTGGAATTTTTCTGGGTTTGAGGTTTCCTTTACAAGATCATAGAGCATGTTCGAAATAAACAATTTTTGAATCATTTCAGAAGATATGAGGTGGGTACGTGCATACTGGCATTCATCGGTGGTTACGGAAAGCTGAAACATTTAAAACAAGAAAAAAAAACAAGTTAGAGGCGAATTCTAAAGTATTTTTATTCCAGAAATCTGAATATAACTTTCGTCTTTCCCGAAGATGTAACAAAACGCGACAATACACGAAAGGCCTTCGACCTGTCGTTTCGTCATACTAGGATCATTCAGCCTCCAAGCGCGTGCTGCTCGTGTGGCCAACGCGTGCCAGGTATGTTCCGCCGCACTGACACCCGTCGTAAAGTCTTTTTTTTTTCTCTGCCGTTTTAAAAATATCAAGAGTGTGCGTGCTTCGATAGGCGCTGAAGATGCGCGAGCGCGGAGATTCCAAAAAAAACTCTTAATATGACATCAGTTACCGGGAAGCAGGGGCTTCAGCGATACTTTGAAATTGACTTTCTGCAGCCACCGTGTGCAAGATTAAACGTAATCACGATATTTGGGATCCCGAAAGCCAAGTGAAGACGATTTAAGTATTTTGCCTCAAATACAGAACTGCTTCAGTTTCCCTTTAATGAGTGCGAGTGCACGAGCAACCATGGCTTTGACTGTAGATTCAGGGAAGGCCTTCTTCGAGATTTATGGACTTTCACGACCACCATGAAAGCTTGGAGTGTAAATGTGTTTTTATAAAGAGAGAAAATAGAATACCACCTGGAGAGTTTTGCATCTAAGACTTAAACGGTGGTAACGTACAACAACGAACCGTCAATTGTACACTCTAAAAAAAAAGGTATCAACTTACACTGTTTTGTCCCATATAATGCGCCCCCAAACTTCAGTTCGATGTACAGCGCACTATAGTAGAACAGACGGCCCCAAATTTTACGAGGGCCTTGATAACCGGTGCAATATAACTTATTAAACTGCTAAAGTAGGTATCAAAGACCACAGGAAGAAACCAAAGTTTTGCAGAAGGACAAGAAAACCTCAATCGTCTTTTTTTTTTAGTGAGTAACACGTACATTAGCTATTTTAATAAGTTTTACCGCACGGCTATCAAGCCTCTCGTTAAACTTAGTACCTTCAGATCGGCATCAGCGTGCTGTACGTCGAAATGAACTTTTGAGGTGTATCTTATGGGACAAAGAGTGTAAGAATACACCCTTTTTTATGGAGTGTAATATTCAACTTACGGGATTCCATGACCGACACTGGTTATCACGAAGTTTTCGGAAAATGTTCTCGTTTATTTCCACGCTATGAGACAATACCCAAGTAGCACCCAATGTGGTGCGAACATTCCCTGGATGTTCTAAATGTTGAAGGAACGTTAAAGCACTATTTGGAACGTTCTATAGGAACTTTCGTATGCGAACATTTCCTACAAGGTAAGCAGCTCAACATGCTAGGAATGTTCGTTAGCGAACATTTTATTTGCACAATGTTCTAAGAACGTTCTCTTTCGAACATTCGTATGCGCAGCATTCTTGGAAAGTTCGCTTGCGAACATTCCTAGAAGGTTCGTAGGTGACGCCAACTTTACGGAGTTTTCACGCAACCTGTGGTTCGAAACATCATCCACTATGGCCACTTTGTTACAAAAATGTGCCAATCAAGTAGAGTTTCCGGAAACTTCGCATACGGGATCAGTTTTATCTTATTTCAGTCTACCGTGGAATGTGATATAAGATGTAGGAGAAAAGCAATCGTTTTCAAAACTTGATTATAAACTTGGCACTCACTGCGTATGTATAAAGGGGCAGTCTTGAATGGACCAGATTTTTAGAATCTGGGGTTTAAAACTTTGAAAAAAATATTTTCCAGTTGAATGTGAGATGCCATGTGTATTTGTTCTTAAGCTCGGATTGAGTAATCGGTTATGTATACAGCACATTTTGAATGAAAGAAGTTGACAAGTGACAGCTAGGTAGGAGTAAACTGTCATTAGTACGTGCTCAGGCTGGTGCGCTGGGAAAGCGGCTAGCTTGTGCTTGCGCCTTCTAAAAATTAGTTTCGATTACAAAATATCATCTTGTGAGGAGATTCATTACATCCATATATGTAATGCAGCTCATTGGAGCTGTAGCCTAGGCAAGCAGTAATTGTGGAATCTTCGTAAGTAGTTCTCAGAGAATGTTCCCTGAATGTAGTGATGTACCCACGCCACGTTCCGAGGAGTTTGAAAGGATGTCCCTGTATACATTTGCAACATTTCAAGAAAGTTGCAGAAGTTTTTTGGATGTTCTGAGAACGTTCTTAGAACCTTGTTAGGATATTTACATATTTTTGATTGAATGGCCTAATAAAGTTTTTGTCGTTCTCGGAACGTTCTAAGAATGTCCCTTAGAAAACATTCCCCGCATGTAGCAATAAGTGCCTGCGCCACATTCTGAAAATGTTGATGGAATGTTTTTACGGTTAATATGCAACATTCCAAGAATGTTGCCTATGTTTTTCTGAACATTCCAGGAATGTTCTCGGAAAATTCTCGTGCTACGTAGGTAGAATCACACTGAACGGGAAACGCTTCACGAAAGTTATGTCACTATAAAATTATATCGATTGCTGCTGATGTGTATTACACATGGGCGCCTCTCCAACGCGTAAAATCTACGAGGTGACGTAAATAATCGGGCTCTGGTGCACAAAACGCCTGCAAAAGTGCGGCGCAGATGAACCTCCTTTGGTCGCCTGATCTTTTATTATCGTATCCTTCAAGGACATCGCTATTATATTTGCTTCCAGGCAGCAAGCCAGAGAAAACAACTTTAGCTTGGCCCAAGCCCGCAATTCAAGGGGCTTGACATAGACCTTAAATGGTTATACTCCAAGGCGCTACATTGGGCAAAGGGTACTTTGCCTTCACCCTAACTTGCTAGAGAATGTTCCAAGTTTCACTTTTCTTTGGATCACCACAGGAGTGGCAAAGCACCTTACGCAAATCCAAGACACCACGTGGAAATCGAACAGCCAGCCGGGAAGCCTAACTTTGGCATTTGCTTTTTTGTGGATTGAGACCCGGAGATGCTACGTGACAACCGAATTCTGGACCAAAATACACAAACTTTAGCCAGCGAATATCACGTTTGGTTCTACTGTCGTCTTGAGGATCTTTAGGTTTCGAATTTCCAAACAAAAGTTTGACCCAAAAGAATTGTGCTTCTTGGGTGTCAACATTTCTATCAGGTTTGGTAGAGTATTTGCAAACAAAATTTGAAAGAAACTTATAATAAATGCCGGATGAGCTGTCAGACTGTCAGTACTGATTTGCTTTCTATCGATCTATAAAGAAATGTATTGGTCCTTATGCAGTTACCTGTGGTAACGGTAAGGGACGACACCGTACTGATATAAATGCAACCCAGAATTACAGGAGTATAGTTTCACCAAACGTGAAACATAATTGAAAGAAACCCATCGTGATTCAATATGTTGTACCTAATAACGTAGAAAGATAAACCGTGATGTAAATTAACCTGATAGAGGGTTAAAATTCAATCCGCAAGTCTCAGCTTTTTTTTTAATTTTCAGTTTTGCTAGGCTAATTTACATCATGGTAAAGTTCGTGCTTGATTGCTGTTCGTTATGTTTTCTTGTTCATCAAAAATTTATTTGCAATTTTGCTTTTTAAACTGACGCCATATG